GGGAGGATTTTGGGGGGGTTTTGAGGAAGGATTTGGGGGGGTTTTGAGGAAGGATTTGGGGGTTTTGGGGTCCCCCCAGGGTCGCCGTGCCTGAGCTTTGACGTGGTGCGGGACGGGCTGGGGGATGGGCGGGAGGAGCCGCCGCTCTCGGTGCTGCTCTGCGCCGGCACCCAGGCCGAGACCCCCAGCGCCAACCGGTGAGAGACCCCCGGCCCTTGGGGGGGTTTCTGGGGTGTTTTTAGGGGAGTTTTGGGTGGGTTTTGGGATGTTTTTGGGCTGGGTTTGGGGATGGTTTTGGGGTGTTTTTTGGAGGGGTTTTGGGGTGGGTTTGGGGGTGTTTTTAGGGTGAGTTTGGGGTGGGTTTTGGGATGGTTTTCAGGGTGTTTTTCAGGTGTTTTTGGGGTGGTTTTGGGATGATTTTTGGGTGGGTTTTGGGATGGTTTTGGGGTAGTTTTGGGATGGGTTTTGGGATTTTTTGGGGTGGTTTTGGGATGGGTTTCGGGTGGGTTTTGGGGTGGTTTTGGGGTGGTTTTTGGAGGGGTTTGGGGTGGGTTTTGGGATAGTTTTGGGGTGGGTTTGGGGACTTTTTGGGCTGGGTTTAGGTTGGGTTTCGGGTGGATTTTGGGGTGGTTTTGGGGTGGTTTTTGGAGGGGTTTGGGGTGGGTTTTGGGGTGGGTTTGGGGGTGATTTTAGGGTGGGTTTTGGGATGGTTTTGGGGTGGTTTTTTGGGTGTTTTTCAGGTGTTTTTGGGGTGGTTTTGGGATGGTTTTTAGGTGTTTCTTGGGGTGGGTGTGGGGTGGTTTTAGGATGGTTTTTGTGTGGCTTTTGGGATGGTTTTGGGTGGTTTTAGTGTGGGTTTTGGGATGGGTTTGGGGTGGGTTTTTGGGGTGGTTTTAGGGTGGGTTTTGGATGTTTTTTGGGTGGGTTTTGGGGTGTTTTGGGGTTGTTTTTGGGGTGAGGTTTGGGATGGTTTTGGGGTTGGTTTTGGGGCGTTTTTTGGAGGGGTTTGGGTTGGGTTTTGGGATGGTTTTGGGGTGTTTTTAGTGTGGGTTTTGGGATGTTTTTATGGTGGGTCCTGGGGTGTTTTTAGGGTGTTTTTCGGGTGCGTTTTGGATGTTTTTGGGGCGTCCCAGCTCTGATTTGGGGTGTCCCCCCCCTCGTTTCAGGGTGCTGCTGCTGCAGATGCAGAACCTGCACGGGCTGCGGGGCAGGAGGGGCAGTGACAGCGACAGTGACAGTGACAGCGAGGAAGAGGAGGAGGAGGAGGAAGGACGGGAGCCGCAGCTGCTGCTCCTCATGGCCCCCCACTACGGGGGGATCAACAGGCTGAGGGTAAGGACCCCCCAAAAACAGCCCCCCCGAAAAAACCCACCTGGGAACCCCAAAAATCCACCCTAAAACCCAAAAAACGCACCTGGGAACCCCAAAAAAAGCTCAAAAATCAACCCTGGGAACCCCAAAAATCCACCCTAAAACCACAAAAACCCACCTGGGAATCCCAAAAATCCACCCAAAAACCCACCTGGGAACCCCAAAAATCAACCCCGGGAACCCCAAAAATCCACCCTAAAACCCCCAAAACCCACCTGGGAACCCCAAAAAAGCTCAAGAATCGACCCTGGGAACCCCAAAAATCCACCCTAAAACCACAAAACCTCATCTGGGAACCCCAAAAAACCCACCTGGGAACCCCAAAAATCCACCCTAAAACCCAAAAAAACGCACCTGGAAACCCAAAAAAAGCTCAAGAATCAACTGTGGGAACCCCAAAAACCCACCTGGAAACCCAAAAAAATACCAAAAATTAACCCTGGGAACTCTGAAAAGCTTCTGGGAACCCCAAAAACCCACCCTGGGACCCCCAAAAAACCCCACGGACCTCCCAAAACACCCCCTGGGACCCCCCAAAAACTTTTTGGGATTCTCCATATAACCCTGGGACCACCACTCAAATTACTCTGGGACCCCTCAAAATTTATCTGGGAACCTCAAAAAAATCCTTAAACATCCAATTAACCCTCAAGACCCCCCAAAAAACCTTGGGCTGCTCTGAGACCCCCATCTTTGCTCCCCCACCAAACCCTCTGGGACCCCCCCCCCCCCCCCTGGGACCCCCAAATCTCCCCCTGAGTCCCTCCCAGGACCCTCCCCCCCCCCCCAAAGCTCTCTGAGACCCTCCCAGGGCTCCCCAAATCAACCTAGGACCCCCC